CAACAGGAAAAGAGCAAGGCGGGACTGCAGAAGGAGACCGTAAGATCTGAGTAGAAAATCCACTCCCAGGTGCAGCCATGAGCTCCATAGAGTCACTGCTGCATGATGGTTCATTCGACTAGGCCCACATTGATGTGGTGAATTCTGTATGCCAGGCACTATGGCAGGGGCCTGGGGATATGCCAGTGGGAGCAGACAGGCAGGGGATGTTAATTCTAAACTCTGGGTTGAATAGAATGGGAGTCAGTTGCTGCAATAGTGCCCCTCCATGACCGCTGGGGATCCATGCTCTGCAGGTGGAAGGGAACTGGAGTCTCTTTGTGGTTCTTGGGAGGCTGGGTCTCAGATCCTCATCCCCGAGCCATTGTTCGGTTTGCACCAGAAGGTGCGGCCTTCCTTACCAGCTCCCTGTCTGCCCCAGGTATCCTAAGTTTACTCTTTCATCAACACTAATGTGCATTTCTTAGTCACACCCATAGGAGGGACAGCGGCCAAGGAACATGCAGAGTGGTAGGGTAAGGAGAATTAGTGTCATGCAAGGTACTCATGGGTAAAAAGCTGATAGACATGACCACTGGCTGTATTACACCTCACTGCCCTCTTCTACTAATTTCCAAAAGGCCACGTCCTGCCAGCATGCTTAGAAGTGTCAGATCCAGGGGTCGCTCACCTGGGAGAGCATGCTGCCATGCTGGTGATGGTGCCAGTTCCCAGCCACTGCCATGGGGGTGGGTGTCCTCTGGGAAGCAGGTGGAGAAAGACACCCGACCCATCTTTTCAATGCCTCGATTTTGACCCAAGCTTGTTCAATCACACAGAACTGGTTTTGAATCTTGGTCACTTGCTAACTGTGTATGTTGAGAACATTAGCAAGCTTTCAGCACCTCAGTTTCCACATTTATGAAGCAGGGGATAGAAGCCTAACATTAGAGCTTGAAGGTTAAGTGGCAGCCTGTACTTCCATGATCCAGCACAGGGTGGGGCATGGCACCTGCTCAGTGAACTCCATGTTTTCCCAGCAATAACCCCTTGTTGAACATCACACACAGGGGTTTATCTCCATAGTCAAGCTCACTCCTCTGGCTTCCCCCAACCCACTGGGGAGCCCTCATCAAAGTCCTTGCAAGCACCTAGTTTGTTGGTTTGTTTCCTGGACTTCTTTCATGACACTAAACGATTGCTCTGTCTTGACCTGACTTGGCATCCGATGCCAGGCTGGCTCATGAACACCAGTTCCCGACCCTGATGCCTTATCCAGGCCAGCAGGGAGTCCCTGGAGCATCCTTTCAGAGTTTCTGCATGGTTGGGGCTTTCTCTATGAAACATTTGTAGGGCACATGGAAACAGCACCTTTCCCCATCCCACGGGACTCCCTCCAACACTTGGAAGCCCACAGAACTCAGTGTCAGATGCATCCAGAAATGCCAGTGCAGGCAAACTGCTCATCTGTGATGGCCCCAAGATCAAGGCTGAGCAGAGGGCAGCCATGCCCTGGCACTCCCAGTGGCTCTGACTCCACCATTGTGACTGTGACCCCAGGCCTCAGAGCATTGGGGGCACAGATGGCATCTGGGGACTAGCTTGTAAGAGCACTGGTTGATCTTACTCACTAGAGGCGAGTTCTATGCTTGGGGCCTGGCACCTACTTATTAATCTGTGCAGCCAGAAAACATTAGGTAGGAGCAGCCGGGCAAATACATACCGAGACCTCAACTCACAGATAGAGCTCACACCTTTTTTTTTTAGTACTCAATTACTTAGTTGAAAGACTGATAGATAGAGGAAGGGACAGAGATTGGTCTTCTGTATGCTGGTTCAGTTCATAACAATGGCTAGGGATAGGCAAGTTTGGATTCAAGAGTCTGGAACTCCATCCGGGTCTCCTGTGTGGGTGGCAGGGGCTCAAGCACTTGGACCACCCTCCACCACTTTCCCAGAGGTATCTGCAGAGAAGTGGGCTAGAAGTGGAGCAGCTGGGACTTGAACCAGTGCCGTAACGGAATGCAAGTATCATAAGTGGCAGCTTCGCTGACCGTGCTGCCCCCTGGCACTGTTCTGATTGTTTTTCTGACATGAAAGCTATGTGGGTTTTCTCTGTGTCTTTCCCTAGTTGATCCAGCTGGAATCCTGACAGGCGGTACCGTTTCAAGGCTGACTTTCTGTCCTAGGCTTCTCTAATCTGAACAGATGGCTCGCTGGGTGTGGATGCAGACTGCTCCCTCTAATGGGCCATTCCGACCCTCCGTCCCACACTGAGGAGCAGGGAGGAGCTCCAGCCTAGGCCTGCAGTTCCCTGTAGAATCCCTCTTTAGGATTCAGCCTGGGGATTTACGGGGAGGGACTCACTTGGGTAGCTTTCCTCCTGAATTGCCTCTCTGTGTGTACATGGAAGTGGCGAGTAAATACTTCTTCCCCCTCGTTTTTCTTGTTTGCTTGTCCCTCTCTCCTTCCAGGCTGTGGTTGTATTACCAGAGGCCTCTTTCCATTTGCTTCGTGGATAAAACACAACTCTGGGCTTGTCCTCTGGGCGTGGGACTCCTACCTAAACTTGCTGTGAACGGGCCATGTCCATCATGGTTCCTTCGCAGTGAGCTTGCCTGGGGAGCTGGCCTTCCTTGGCTCCCAGGGACCTCAGCCTCCAGCCTCTCCTCCCTTCCCTCACCACCCACAGCCTGCAAAGGAGTCTGGAGTTATCTGAGGCAGTCAGGGCTGGCAGAGGGCAGAGGGCTTGCTGGTTGGCCTTGGCCCGGAAGTGCCAGAGAGAGAGATAAGCAAGCCAGAAGCAAGTGCACTCAACAGTGTGATGTGCTGGTGGGGTGGGGCACGAAGGGGACAGGAAGGAACCTCGGCCTCCCTGGTCACTAGTGGCCGGAGGCAAGCCAGTTATCCGTGGGGAGCAGACAAGCTCAGGATGAAGCATATTTGCTTTTTGTCTGGATTTCCTGTTCTCACATAGATTTGTGGCTCCAGGGCTGGCGGGAGAGGTGTGGCTGGGCTGGCCAGGGCTCTGCCCCAGGGCAGCAGGTACAGAACGGGCAGGGCCTGAGCTGGGCACTGCTCCCAGACACCCGCTTCCTCTCGCTGCTCTGCAGGCGGCACCAAGCTTCCTGTTGGCTTAGCTCTGTCTGTTCCTTCACTTCCCCCAACTCCTCCCTCCCACCTTGCACCCTCAATCAGGGCTGACAGAGGAGGCACCCCCTTCTCTCGCCCGGGCCATGCAGAACCACCTTGTGAGGGCCTGAGGAATAGCAACTGGGTAACAGTCATGCCTGAGAAGAGGTGGGGAGGCTGTGGGGGAGTATTAATAGAGGGCAGGACTGGAGGTCAGAGAGCAAAGCCTCAGAATCTTCTGGAACTGGACTGCCAAGTTGCCTTTTGGCCACACAGGCTTGGGCTTCCTCCTTGACGCCTTGCCAAAACTCAAGGCTGGGCAAGTGTTTGGAATGTACTGTGTCACCCGGGCGGCACTGGGAGTGACCCGCACTCCTCACCCTCCACCCTTCACTTTCGTTTCATCTCCCTTGGCCTCCAGAAATAGCTCCTGTGATGGACACACAAAATGCAGCCTCCTGCCCACATGCCTGGTTCCTAGCCACCACTAAGCAAGTCTACTCACTCAATAACACATACACAAAGCTACAATAAAATTTGTAGTCAACGTGAGTCTTTGAAAAGCAACTAGTTAGGGCCTGGAGCGCTAGCCTAGTGGCTAAAGACCTTGCCTTGCAAGCACTGGGATCCCATACGGGTACCAGTTCATATCCTGGCTGCTCCACTTCCCTTCCAGCTCCCTGCTTGTGGCCTGGGAAAGCAGTCAAGGATGGCTCAAAGCCTTGGAACTCTGCACCCATGTGGGAGACCCGGAAGAAGCTTCTGGTTTCAGATCGGCTCAGTTATGGTTGTTGTGGCCACTTGAGGAGTGAACCAGCAGATGGAAGATCTTTCTGTTTCTCCTTGTCTATATAAATCTAAATTTCCAAGGAAAATAAGTAAATCTTTTTTTTTTTAAAGCAACTAGTCAGCCAGCTTCCTGAACCCATCTCAAACACTAAAGCACCCATCACCCCTAGTTTAAGATTAGCAGCCTGATTTTGAAGGCACAGGGAGGATTCAGGCTTCTTCCCTACTACCTCGAGGCTGGTGGCCTATGTCGTCCATCGGATACCCTCCTGAGTGTGGCAGCTCACTGGGCCATTTTAGTACCAAATGGCTGCTCTCCAGTAAGGTGTGTCACCTGCAGGCACCCAGGGAGCTGAGTGGGCAGAGCGTCAGTTTGAAAGGGCAGACACCATGAGAGAAAGGTGAAGGGCGGCTGTAGTTCAGGAGATGGAGGCTTAAGCATTCTGGCTTATGGACCTGGCAGTGCCGCCTGCAATGCTGGCACCCAGAGCAGAGCACCGGTTCCAGGGTTCCAGTTCTCACTGCTGTCTCCAATCCAGCTTCCTGCTATGGTGCCTGGGAAAGCAACAGACAATGGCCAAAGTACTTGGGCCACTGCCTTCCAAGATCAGTGTGGAATTTCTAGCTCCTGGCTCCAGCCCGGCCCGGTCCCTCCCCCGGCCATGACTATTTGGGAAGTGAACTAGCAGCAGAAGACAGCTCACTGTATCTCTCCCATTGACTCATTCCTTCAAACACATAAATCAATCTTTAAGACATTTGATTTAGAAACAGTAGATGCCTCTTAAATATTGGCTGACCTAGCTTTTGATCAGCCATAGACATTGTACTAATCTTGTTGCCACCAAGGTCTGCAGACTATATTAAGCTCTGCTAAAGGAAGCCATCTGTGCTTGGTCCTCCATCCACCCTCTGCCAGGGGGCTGATGAACAGCTTGGAATCTGGGGCTCCCTTAGAAACTGCATGTGGCACCTGGGACTGATGGAGGCAGAACAGTTAGCAAGGGAAGGCCAAGGTGATGGACTGTACACCCACACATGCACGTGCACATAGAAAACAGAAAGGTTTTAATTCTTTCTCTCTTTTTTTTTTTTTAACATGGCCATGGGCTTTCTTTAGCAAGACCACCCAGCTGGCACCTGCATCTTGTGGCAGCGAGATGATGACATGATGATGTGCCCCAGTTCAGGTTCTCCCACCAGTGTCAGTTCCAGTGCCCTAGGCGGGACAGGGCTGGGGTCACGGGTGGGGGTCGTGGGAACAAGCAGGGCTGCTGTGTTCTGTGTCAACCCCACCTCTGTTGCAGATGTTCGTCCCGACTGGCATGAGCCTTGGCGCCCCAGCCCTGCGTCTGACTTTTATCAAACACTTTTCTCTGTTTATATAGGCAGCACGATCAATGTGCTTCTTACGCACTCTAACATAGAGCACAGAAACCCAGCCTGTGGAGCACAGCCGAAGGGGCACGGGTCACGCAGGTATGCATGGTGACCCCCAGCAAAAAGGCACAGGGGCCATGGCCCAGGCCCAGCACGTGTCTTGGTCCCACCAGAGCAGTGAACGAGGGCTGGCGGCATTGAGGATCTGGTACTGAGTAATCAACCTCCAGAAGTGTCTAGAAGTGACTGCACGAGCAAAACCTGGCTCACGCTGGCTCTGAGCATTTGGGCAGCTGTGGCGACATCTCTTTCTTTCGGACCCTCACATGCCCCCATGGGAAGTGTGCTTCTGACGGCTGATACAAAAACAGGCTGGCACAGTCTTGCCACTCGGGAGGAATCTCTTCTCAAAGTTTCCCCACCCCCACCCCAAGTCCTCCAAGTTCTCCCTCATGCTCCATGTAGAACAGTCTGGAGAGACCGCACTCTCAGAGTGCGTGTCTCTGGGAAACATCCGGCTGAGCCTCTGCTGTCCCCAGCACTGGTCGCCTCATGCATCCTGGGTAGTAATCAGGGTGCGGCTCCCTTCTCCCTGGAAGGCTTCCGGCATGGGTGGCGGCGAGGAAGCAGTGAGTCCTATTTTTTGTATTTCCAGGACTTGAGGGCTGCCCGGTTGAGCTCAGAGGTGGTGATCCCTGGCCCTCCCCGGGGCCCTGTGCTAGGAGTTCTGGATCAGGCGTCTGTAGTGCGGCATGACTTCGTGCTCTGGCAAATGAAGTGCAAATTCCAAGGCCACCAACACCGGGAACTCAAAGGCGATCAGCTCCCGCCTATTCAGCCGGAACCTCTCTTCCAGTTTCTGCACCAAATGAAAGAAAACCAGAAGCCACCTCAGCCTGGCCATTGACATCTTAGGCTCCCCCTGCAACTGAAGAGTTCACTTATTTTTTTTAGCTCGCTGGTGCTGGAATAGACCAGCAAAGCTTGAGGCGCTGACTGGGTACTGACCTGAGGCTCTAAGGACTGGGAGGGGGCCAGGAAACCCACAATCAGGCAGCAGCTTCTGGTGGGGGCCAGAGAGAATATGGGGGTGTGGCAGAGGGAGACAAAACACCAGGGAGCCTCACTGGACAACCCAGGTGCCAGGACAGCCAGCTCTCAAAAGACTCCGCCTCCCAGCATTGCCACAGTGGCCATCAAGTCAGTTCCAGAAGGGCACAATCCTATTTTAGCCATGGCACCCACAATGGGGCATGATGTTGGTTGGTGCTTTCAGCCACCTGTCCTGAGGGCCTGTCGTCCGCCCAGAGCCACACACACACCTCACACGGCTACATTTAATCCTTTTGGCTAGCTCCCCAAGTTGATGTCAAACAGTCTCCATTTTATCATTTTATGGAGAAAGACCTGGGCTCCAAATGGTCACTTGGTCCAAGGCCACCTGGGCAGGAACTAGCAGTTACGGAGATGCCAACCTCACTGGAACTTCAGCTGCAGCATCCCAGCCAAACTCTGCAGGTTGAGGTGAAGCTACAAAGCAGAGTCAGTCACCTGCAGCCTAACAGCCACGCAGTAGCTCAAAGCAGGGAGAGCAGGTCATGCGCAGTCTAGTACTTTTATCTTAGGTGCAGGACCTGGGTTCTGGACGGGTCACTCTGCTTCCAGTGGGTCTCACAGGGGCTGAGGGTCCCACAGGGGCTGAGGGTCCAGTGGCCTTCCACCTGTCCCTGCCAGCATGTGTGGTTAGCAGTGGAGGAGAATAGGTGGAGAGTGGCAGAGAAGGCCTCTGCTTTGGCTTAAAGTGGAGTTTTTGGCTGAATTAACAAGATTTCACTCACATAGCAGGTATTGACTGTGCTAAAATGATAACGGGGAAGGGATCTTCCATCAGGCTTACAACTGCTGCAGACTGGCCCGTCAAACCCTCATTTTTATCACGCTCTGCACTAATGCCATCCACTTTTGCTGTGTTGTACATGAGCAGAACGTCACTTGCAAGCTTTATTAACACAGCTGCTCTTTGAGATCCATGGGAGACTGGCTCCAGGATCCCCACTGCAAACTAAAATGTAAGGATGCTCCACTCTTCTCTACAATGGGAAGAAGGCTGACAAGTGAGAACACATGAGCCATCGTGTGACTTGTGTGCTTGCTTTCTTGAGGCTTTCACACCATGGGGCCTTGCTGATCAGGAAGGCCCATGCCAGGGTTGGCTGATTCCTCCGCAGTAAATGTCACCCTCCCAAATGCAAAGCAACCAATGCAGGTATCACACCCCGAGACACCTTCTTCTTCTGGACTTATACTTCAGGCCATGTCTCCACTTGCCCCTAATCAACACAGGGCTAAGCACCAGATGATGAGGGATGACCCCCAGGCCCTAGAGTCTACTGAAAAGAATTAGAGCAGCTACTCCCCAACCTGTGTCATCCATTCCTCTCAAGGTGATCAACCTGGAGGCTTCTACCCACAGTCCCGATCAAACCTGCTGTGTGTCTACACGGCCCCACACTCTGCTGCTTATGGACTGAATAGGTGCCCAGGACATTCTCATGTATACATTTGGTATCACGGGGTAAGGCTTTGAGAGCTGAGGTCAGGAAGGTGCAGCCATCAGATGGAACTGATGCTTGCCTCTCTCATGATGAAGGAATCTGCCAGCAGGAGGAGGGCCTGCTGTCAGCCCAGTACATCAACCTTGGGCTTCCCAGCCTTCAGCAGTGACAAGGGGGATTTCTACTGACTGTGCTGCCCAGGCCAAAGGGTTCTGTTTGAACTAGGGAACTCCTCTCAGGTTTTCTGAGTCAACCAACTACCTTTTCAATAGCAGTTGTCTCCGGATGAGGATCAATTTTTTGATATATTGTTTGCATCATCTTTTAAATTGGCTATTCCTATTTCTGCCCAAGGAGATCAGAATTCCCTTGCTTTCTGTTGAGGCTCTGCCTTCAATGAAAGGAGTGTGTCATCCAGTAAGCCCACATGTTTCTCCAAGGAGGCGGCAACATGGCAGCAGGATGCTCACAGGCTACATGGCCCACAAGCTCCTTGCCTCATGGCGGCTTCCATGGGGGGAGAATGATGTCACCTCCATGGCATCTGAAAATGGACTTTTACGGTCCAAACTGGGGCCTTCTGGTCTTTTCATAGTGGGTCAGCCCCGTCGGTTCAAGGACAGCCCGAGACACCTGTTGCAGGATGCATGATCCCAGACACCTCCTGGGTGGGCTGACCAACCAGGTCCTGCAGAGAGCAGGACCCTGACAGCGGGGTGGGGTGGGGAGTAGACCAGCTCCGATGGCCGTCGGAATGTAGGCCACTTACATCGATCAAATGCTTGACTTCATGCTTCTTGAGGTCACTTCCAATCTTGGCTGCCAGCAGCACACAGGCTCCGGCACACAGCTTCCGGTTCTGTTTGTTCAGCTTGCCACGCAGGGCAAGCTTCTCAAAGTAGACAAAGGCCATGGCCACCGTGGGCTCCTCGAAGCCACAGTCCTCCTGGGCTAGCTTGCGCATCTCTCGCTTCAGGCTGGGGAAGACAGGGAGGAGGGCATCATTTTCAGCAGACTCAAAGGAAAAGAAGCCCTTCCTTAAAAGTGGCCATCTCTCTCTTCCTCCTCCCTGGGGGAGGCGATGTGGGCTATGACGACAGACTCCCCTGGCACATGTGTGTCAATATCATGTGTGGGGAGCAGACTTCAGAGCAGGGGCTACAGAGCCTCATCACCCCAGCCTGCGCTTCCACCATCAGCACCTTTGGGAAGACAGTAGGCAGGCAGCAGCCAGGCTGCAGGGTGACCACCAAGGCCCCAGTGAACAGGACATAGGCCGCACAGGGACCCCAGACAATGCCAGTGGCTCTTTGGAAGTAGAGGTGATGCCTTGAGTACTTGGGAGACTTGGATTGAGTCCTAGGCTTCTGGCTTCAAGCCTTGCCCAGCCCTGGCCACTGAGGGCATTTAGGTAGTGAATCAGCAGAAGGGACCACTCGCTGGCTTACTCTCTTTCTTCTTCCCTAATAACAATAAGCCATAAAGGGGCCATAACCCTGAAACTGGGAGTAGAGCTGTCCAAAATAGAGAGAGACATGGTTACTCCAGAAAACAAACCAAGTCCTCTTCCCATGATCACTTAAGTTCCTTATCTAAGGGAGGAAAGGAGCTAGGCGACGTGCACAGCAGGTAATGTCCTGAGGAAAGCTGCCCAGCAAATGGGCAAACTGAATGCTCCACTTTTCCTCAAACATTGTTGATTCTTTGGCTTATTAGAGTGTGAATCAAATCAGTGCAAGGAAACATAGTGGCAGAAATTCTGGCACATCTGCCAACATGGTGGTGGGGTGGCATCCATTGAGACATACACACACAATCGCCGCTTACAGATACAACAACACAAGGTGGCTCCCTTCTGGCTCGGTGGGGCCAGCTGTCCCAGTGTTTGGCCGCCACATGTGGGCTTCCACACAGTGGATCCAACTGGCTGCAAGGGCCATTGAGCCGGACTACTTGGGTGATTGCAGCTGCTTGAAGATAGGGCTTGGCTCTCACCTCTGGGAAGACAACTACTGGTAAAGTTCTCTTTTGCTTCAAAACAAAACAAGAACAACCCCCCCTGATTAAAAAAAAAAAACCATCTATTTTTAAAATTTTATTTGAAAGGGAGGAAGGAGAGGTCTTCCTTCTGCTGGTTCATTCTCCAAAAGCCCCTAACAATTAGGGCCAGCCCAAAGCCAAAGCCAGGAGGCTGGAACTCTATCTGGGTCTCCTATGTGGGTGGTCACTTTCTGTTGGACATGACCATGGTTCAGCAATGGTATAAAGCAGGAGCTGAGGGCATGTAGGGATGGGACTGGTGGGGCAAAGTGACAGAATGTAGTGGCTTTCCATACCTCCTTATCTTGCTGAGTGTCAGCTTAATGTGAGGAAACTTCTCCTTGAAGGTCTCGTTCATGTCCTTCTTGAGATCTGAGGGCTTCACGTAGTCTATTACTGTGGTCTGCAACAGATCGGGCAATAGAGGGTACACTTACATAGGTCACAGGTCATGATGACATGCCGGAGTGGGCAGTGTATGAAACCATCTGATAGTGGAAAAACGCAGATTAGAGCCCCGGATGAGCCCAGGAGCCTCAAGGAGACAGTGGCCTCCAGGAGGTCAATGGAAATCAACTGCCACTGTCAAGAAGACGAGGGGACATTCAGGCAAAGTGGACATCAGCAGTCAGAGGCCGGGGGTCTGTCTTGCACTAGCTGTGTCAGCTTGCTGTCCATGCAGGGCAGTGTGTACAGCCACAGGGCTAGGACCTTGCTCAGGCCTGAGCCCAAGCTATCCAGCACCCCTGGGAGGTTCCCTGGCTCTGGTAGACCCATCTCATTGTCTCCAATCTGGCAGTTCATCTCTGAAAAACGAAAGCAGTCATAGTGCCAGTGTTACCCAGCCATACAGAGAACATGACAAGTGGTCTGTCTGCAGCTTGGTACACAGCAAGTGTTCAATAAGTGGTTTTGAACAAACTATGGTTTTAAACAAACTTTCAAAACCGATAAAACATACCCACCATCAACTTCACTGTCTGACTATGTCCAGTCCCACGGCACTGCTGTGCGGTCATCACCAGCAGCCACCTTTCTAACTCTCGGTCTTGTCAAACATAAACTCAGTAGCCATGCATGAGAATGTCCGTTTCCTCCCTCCTACCAGTGCTGATGGCTTGGCTGCACCCGTAGCCCTGGGAGGACTTAGGACTCGATTGTGTTTCAGAGATACTGTTCTGCTCCTGACACCGCTGGTTTCTGTCCCCCAGCTTGGACGCACAGTGCTCCCACTGTGAGGCCCTTGGCCCCCCTCACAGCAGGCCTTCACCCTGGACTGACAGATGAGGGGTTCTCTTTCCCCTGCCTCCTCTGTTTGCAGCAGCAGCAGCTCACTCGCTCTCCTGCCTTGCTGTGTTTCTGCTGCTCTGAGCTGTGGTTCAGCAGCTAGCAGCCAGAGATCCTTGGGTTTAAACCCTGGCTAGAGGAGCTGGTGTAGATGTCTATGGAGCTAATCCTCTGCTTGTGGTGTCAATGTCTCACCTGGGCATTGGTCTAGTCCTAGCTGCTCCACTTCCCGCCCAGCTCCCTACCTGTGGCCTGGGAAAGCAATAGAGGACAGCCATTGGGCCCCTGCACCCATGTGGGAGAACCAGGAGAAGCTCCTGGCTCCTGATCAGCTCAGCTCTGGCTGTTGCAGACACCTGGGGAGTCAACCAGCAGATAGAAGACCTTCTCTCTCTCTCTACAAAATCTGTCTTTCAAATAAAAATAAATACATCTTTAAAAAATTAAATCCTGGCTCAGCTACACAGTTCTTGGGCAGCCCCACACAAACTGCAAAAATACCTACTGCCTCAGTTGCCACCTCCAGCTGCTGCGAGCTGGTCCGCATCTTACACTCAGCTGCCTGGAACACACAATTGGGGCAGCTGAGTGGGCAACGCCCAGAGTGACAACTGGCTTCCAGACTTCCCCGGGGCCAGCTACGCCTCTTGTGCATATGCTGCCCAAATGCAGGCCAGACCTTCAAGAACTCAGGGCCACCCTTCCAGCAGGTGCCAGAGGGTACACCAGCCCCACTCCCTGTCACCCTGGGGAAGGGCAGGTGCATGATTCTGACACAGTCCTGTCTGTCTCGGGGACATCTTGTGAGGCTCCTTGGGGGCTGGGCCTCCAGCCACACTAAGGTCAGCATGCTGTATAGGATACGCCATGAGTAGACAAGGCAGCAGTACCGGGAGACTGGGCTGCAGGTGCAGGAGCACCACAGGACCTGAGCATGCACTCTTTCTGGCTTAGGAAAGAATGAATTCAATGTAGCATCATGCTTGTTCCAGTTCACCTACTTGTCTAATGGAGTGAGTTACAGAATTGCTAGGCCTAGGTTTCATGAGCAGCCATTAATATAAATCACAGAACTCATGAAACAGGCTTGGCTCCCTGCTGGTGCGGGAAGGTCAGAGCCATCTTTGTGTTCAAGGCCTCCAAGTCCCAGGCTGTGGAATTCCCCATTAGGGCCTGCAGCTGCAGCCAGCAGCCAGGCTGGGCTCTAGGATGGGTGACGCCCTCAGTCCCTTGACACTGATGCAGCAGCTGGGGCAAGAGGTTACTCCAGGGCGCTCTGTCCAGCTGCACAGGGGTAGACCCATAGGGAGGACACAGACTGTGGGTCAGGGAGCAGCCTGCCCAGCGCAGGCAAGAAGCAGAGCTGGGAGTGCCTGGGGTGGGGCGGGGGCAGGGGTAGGGGCTCAAGAACCCTTTCTGAGATTTGGAGGAAAAGATGACCACAGGTTGGCCACCTAATCGTGGATGGAGGAGACTAGATACCTGGCAGTCTTGCTTTCTATGTATATACGGCTCTGACCCAGAGAAGCAGGACCTCTACGGTAACCGGGTACCAGTGCAGCCCACAACACCACAGCACCAGCTGAAGTGTCCTGAAGGTATCCCAGGGTGGGGGTTAGGAGGACAGCAGGTGGTACATACACCTCAAAAGCATTCTCAAAACACAGCAGGGCTTGGACCTCACAGCTCCCTGCTCTGAGCCGAAGAGAACTGACAGTAAAAATGTTCCTATTGTGGGACCCTGTGCCCCTGCCTCCTTCGCCTGCCTGCTCTCTTCTCTCCTGGCCCAGGACTGCTCCCCAGCAGCTCGGAGCACCTGTGGCCTGGTGGTGGACACTGCCTGTTCTATTCTGGGCCAGGGGGCCCTCCCCTGCTTCATTCAGCACACCTTCCCCAGGGAAGGTAGAGCCAGGGGCCAGCTTGGGCTTTTTCCCTCCCAGAAGCCAGGCGGAGACCCCAGGTGGATAGTTGCATGGAAATGGCTCTGGGCAGCTCCTGCCAGCACTGGCAGCCATGGCAATGCAAGTGCTGTCCATTGGCGTGGCCAGCTCAGCTGGGCACGGGGAAAGCTCAGCTGGGCACGGGGAAGCAGCTGTTCCTGCCTGTTCAGGTAATTATGTAGCTCTTGGCTCACCACTCAATCCGGCTAACTAGCAACAGATGGGCAGTGCAGCTGCAGCATGCATTGATTTCTTTTTCTGAAGAGGTCAGGAAGTCACAGGACACTGAGGGAAGGAGCAGGGACCCATGTGGCTGGGAGCCACATGTGCGGCCATCTCTAGCCACCAGATTCCAAAGGCTCAATCCTGGACTCAGTCTCCCTCCCTCCCTCCCTTGAGGGGAATGACTTTCGCTTCAGTTTCATTCTCTGAAACACAATGGTTTGCAAATGCAGAGCAACCAAAGTTGCTTCATGGTTGTAGCTATAGGTTCATGCTCCCCCAAGTGGCTTGACTGAGGCACCTGTGGGAGTATCTCCTGAGTACTGTAACAACACAGTTGCAGTTGTGTCACCACCAACTTTAGGATGCTGGGTGAACTGGCCCAGAGCTCACACATAGCCAGATAGTGTTGATGTCAACATTTGTTTTTTAGGGCCCAGCGGTGTGGCCTAGCGGCTAAAGTCCTCGCCTTGAATGCGCTGGAATCCCATATGGGTGCTGGTTCTAATCCTGGCAGCTCCTCTTCCCATCCAGCTCCCTGCTCCTGGCCTGGGAAAGCAGTCGAAGACAGCCCAAAGCCTTGGGACTCTGCACCCGTGTGGGAGACCTGGAAGAAGTTCCTGGATCCTGGCTTCGGACTGGCATAGCATCGGCCGTTGCACTCACTTGGGGAGTGAATCATCGGAAGGAAGATCTTTCTGTCTCTTCTCCTCTCTGTATATCTGACTTTCCAATAAAAATAATAAATAAATCTTTTTAAAAAACTTTTTTTTTTATGGAAAAGGCAGATCTATAGAGAGAAGAGGCAGAGGATTTTCCATCCACTGGTTCACTCCCAAAATGGTGACAATGATCAGAGCTGAGCTGATCTGAAGCCAGGAGCCTCCTCCGGGTCTCCCACATGGGCACAGGGTCCCAAGAGTTTGAGCTGTCTTCTACAGCTCTCCCAGGCCAAAAGTAGGAAGTTGAATGGGAAGTGGAGCAGGTGGGACATGCATTAAAACTCACATGCGATCCCAGTGCTTGAGCTGGCAGGACTAGCCAATTGGGCAATTGTGCCAGGCCCACGGGGACACTTCTAAATGCATGCTTCTCCTAACAGCAGTCACTGGGCACGAACTGAAAACAGTGCAGGAGATGTTATATTTAAACACCATGGCATGAGACTCAAGCTGGTGGAATAGGGTAAGGACACATTTAAACAGAGAATCATTAACCAGGGGAAGCAGAGAGGGCATATTCCAGGAAATAGGAGAGGACAGAATGACAGCAGAGAGACACCTGGAGACTGACAGACACAGGAAAGCAGCAGACACAATGGTGTGGTATTGCAGTGACCAAGCACAGACGATTCAGTGAGCAGCAATCTGAACTGCATCAGCAGCTGGAGCTCCACCAGCAACAAGGTAGGAAGGGGAGTTCACCGGGAGCTCAGGAGGTGAACCCAGACAAAGAACTGCCTATCTGCTGGTCTGTTTGATTTGACAAGGAGTTGAGACAGAGTGGCAGATCCCAGATGGGTGGTGCGGGAACAAGGTGGATTTTATAGTCCAATCCACCCCCTAGAGCTGAATTGTGCGCTATTTTGTGTAGGGAGGCAAAGGCTATGCTCAGGACTGCACATGCACTGATCTGGGAGTGAACTCACTGAGCTCAGTGCATTGCACTGGTCCCACAGGAAAAATAATACCAACTTTGGCATCCTACAGGTCAAAATAGGTCCATGTGGCTCCCAGACCTAATGGACAGCAGGTTCCAGCAAGATCAGCACCACCAACAACCTAGCTATATAGGACTCCTGGTGTCTCCCTAATCCTGGAACCTACTCTATCTGAAAGTGGGAGAAAGGTTGTACAGACAACAGCTCAGCCTCAGCATGATATCACAGGAGGTGGACAGTGGTAATCTAGAAGCTGAGGCTACAGAGACCATGGCGGAAGTCTATCACAAGAAC